ATGCTCAGCATAGTAGAGGCTTGCAAGGGCATAGTCTGTGCATTCCACCAGATCCCGGTACCCTTGGTTCTCAGCGTAGTCCAGAAAGTCTTGGTGGTTGTTTGGATGACTTGGACGGAAGTGGTGTAAACGCTCCTGGACGTCTACAAATGCTTGGCCCATATGATCGCCTACCAGTGGTTTACCCAGCAGGAAGGCGAAGAAGTTGCGAGTCGCAATGTGCCGTCTAAATGAATTCTCTCGTGATAATTCCTCTGGAGCCGGGATGAAGAGCTCAACAATGCTATGTTCCCCGTTGGCGTTGGTAAGGGAGCTGGGCATTCGTCTCAGGTGCTGGAAAGCGGATCCTGGAGCAGACGCGATCTGCGCATCACATAGTTGGAGTATCGCCTCACACTTCTTCTGTCGTAGAAGCCTGAACGGAATGCAGAAGGATGGACCACGACGCGAGACTCCTTTCGCATGTAGATGCACGAGGCAGTCTCCTTCTTCATACCATAACTCTGGATCCTTTCGCGTCATTAGCTTGGTTTTACCCTGATAGTTTCTTACATACCCTGCGTAGTCCATGATCCCAATCGCTCACAGTACGGGTCAAGCCTGACCAGCGTTGTACTTTGGTTGGATGCATCGGCTTTGACGGTGTTACAAGGCAGCTGGCGGACCTTGGTCGCGTTTCGGTGGCCTTGAGAGGTCCCTTGCCGGTACTATCTTCTACTAATGTAGAGGCGACGCGATCGCCAACCGCGAAGCTATGACGTGCGGCTGTAGGTGGGCTGGTATGGTGAGGTAGTGTAGATCCACTTGTCGATGCCGCGGAGACTACCTGATTCGAGGTCCTAGGGTCATCGAAACAAAGGGTACGAGAAAGGGACGATGTGCGGGCGGGGATTAGATATCCATGAGGCTCTTCCCCAATGCTGGCCTGACAAGACGGGATCGCTTCCGAAGCCATGCTGATCTAAATAGGAGTGTGCATGTGTAGTACCACAGATTGAGTTGCTCAACGAGCGGCGGCAGGGATGCCTAGTCTGCCGTGATGGAGTCGAAACTAAGCAGAAGTCTGTCGCAGCCGGGCGTGGGACAAAGCAACTATTGTATGTCGACAAACCCTTGTCGCGCCCTCAGCTATCGTGACGGCTGGGACGCGTCGCCGTCCGGCTCATGATGGCGTCTTTTGGTTGGCGAGGCTGCGTCTTGCGAGCCCGATTGAGCGTCTTGATGGGGCGATCTTGCCCAAATGGGGGATCGACCGCTCGTGGCTTGCGCGGGCTGCTTTGCTAGCGTCAGATATCGAGCTGTCAAGCATTTGTCTTTCGATCCAGATCATGTAGTCACTGCAGTTGTCGTGATCACTTGTGTTCGAGACCGATGAATTTGCATTCAGCGCGCTCAGCCTCAGGATGCCAATGCACGGAGCTGAGACGTGTTCAGCCCAGATCTTACAAGCCTCAGTACAGTAGAGCATATGCGGGGAATTAGACGTTTCTGGGGATCTGACAAGATTCCTCGGATGGCACGGTGCCGGGCGGTACTGGGCAATTTGACGATCTCGCCAACTGAGGGGTGGCGTTCTTGTGGCATCGCAAGGAAACCTCACCTATCGGCACCTATCGCCGACTCCATCGTCGGAGCAATCGGTCAACATGGATGCGTAATGTCGGACTTCGCGGGGATCAGATATCGCGTTCGACACGTACAGCAGAGTCGTTCATGCTATCATGCGAAGCGCGACGAATGACATGTCGCGTCGAGAGGTTGGGTGGGGAAGTCGTGGCGTACGCCATGATCGTCGCCCAAGGGTGCTCGGCTCTCCTCACTGCGCTTGCAGCTGGCATCCTTCGTCCACGCATCACAACTCAATCCGCTGCCATAGGCTTCCGATCGCACCAGCCGCTTAGCTATCGACGTCCCGCGTTATCTCTATTGAAGTCGTCTTGAAGATGCTCGAGTAGCTCGATGACGATGGCCGCTGGCCTGTCCCCGCTTAACCACATTTCTTTTTTGGTCACGGAAACTCTATCAAGTACAGCAAACACATGCAGAATTCACACCGCAGGTTTTGTAATCATAGCTCGTACGCTGCTGACCATGAAACATAGGATCTTGAGCACGGCATCAGCGTCTGCGCTGGAGGCTTGCTCATCCTGACCTATCACGCCGACGGTCGTGCCACCGCCATGTATGAGAATTTAGTCCTAAGGCTCTGACCACTGCAAGTACGCATTGCCTGACGCCTTCAAAACGTCCCGAACGCACGGCATCCGGCAACAACACCCAGCCCACCCGAGACAGTCTTCCCGCCATACAGTCTCGTCCAAGGCATACTACCACACGAATCTGCTCGGACATTATCTCGAGGTCCACAAGTCTTGGGCCAGCAGATTACATTGTGCAGCATTGATGTAGCTAGGGAATATGTTTGCTTTGATACGCAGGACTCATGCATTACAAATAAGCACTTTGCATTGCATATGCTACCGCGGCCACCAGCTTATTCCCCGGCTCTAAGTTATGGGTGTACGACCAGACGATCGATGACCATGCGACCAGATGGAGTATGCAGGTGACCCTTGACTGCATATGTACAGTCGCAACCGCGCGTCCTTTTCCCCCATCAGTGAGCATCCCGCTTCTGCGGACACGATGCAATCTTCATGAAGCACACCGCATTATGCATTACTGCTGCAGATGGAGCGCATCATATCTTTGAACGCTTTGTTGACAGGAATCCGGAGCTATCATCTTAATGTGAACAGTATTTGGTCGTTTGCTTCGTTAGACTGTCTCACTCATCTCTAGGCCTGGATGTTGTGGTAACAAGCAGCTTCTTCGACTTTCGCAGCACCATGGAGGTATCTGTGGTGCCTCACTTTGCAACGAGTAGGCTGCTCTGAGTCAGTAAAGCTTGTTATCCTCAACGTCTTGCCCAGTTGCTGTGTCAGGCGTCACACTCGGAGCTGCGGGCTCGCACTTCTCACTGCCAGCTTCCATCTCGACAGCCTCCTCTCTGAATTTTCTTCGACCACTTCGTTTAAGTGCAACGTCTTTCTTGATATTTCCATTTCAACATTTTGTTTGCTCTTTACAATGGTTTCACACTCACTCGTCCTTTCCAGGGCGGTTGCCTTGCGCTTTCCTCCATACAACTCAAACAGGAAACCACGCTAGTAAAGTGAGCGCGCTTGTCCAATCATCGCAGAGCGCAAATCACGCTCACCACGACTCTAATCTCCCCAAGCAGTCGACACATCACCTGTATCAATAAATCAGACTTTGACAATCACTATTTCACATCAGCCTCAGCTCGACTACTCTCGCGATTCTCTCCCAGTCGTTCGAACTATCACCAACATGAGTAGCACCGGCAGCATTAGCAGCGAGGCGAGCATAACGCGGAGTGCCGACAAGGACGACACAAGCGACAGCTCGTTGCAGCGTCCCGACACAGAACCGACAGATGACAAGGAGCAAGTGGAAGGCGATGAATCCATAGTCGACGGGGCTGGTCGCAAGGAGGATGCATCTGACAAGGAGCAAGAAACAAGCGCTACGATCGATGATGCGATCGCATCCCACAACGAGAGGATCGGCCTGGATGAGGTGAGCCTGGAGGGTTCTGCTTCGTCAGTCACAGTAACTATCCATTGTTCTGCATGCGTGGTACCTGACTAACCCTGTATTAGCCTCAGCAACTCTGTCTGGTTGTGGATAGCATCCTCGGCTCTATGAGTGGAGTGGAAACGGCTATGCTTCAGCTTCATGAATACGTCAAGACCGAGAACCAAGACCGCAAGCCGATCCACCAGTGGGCCAGATTCCAAGGCTACCGCGGCATCGATCGTGCGGTTGCCAATCTTGACGAAGCAGGCGCCAAGTTCCAGGATGTTCATCTTCCTGCTAGCTTCGTCAAGACATATCTGAGTCGGGCTACCGAGATGTCACTTACTGTCAGCAAGGCCGCTGTATTCTGCATGGGTGCGATGAACGAACAATTTACCCACTACATCGAGGAGACCAACGTATCAATTGACGCAGAGGCTAAGATTACGGAAGAGCTCAGGAAGCTTCTCAAGCATGGATCCAAGGCAACATATAGCGTGTATGCGGCTCTCGATTTGCTCCGCAACAAGCTGCACATCGACGAGTCCAGTCATAGCCGCGATATCCCCATCATCGAAAAGCTGATCGCAGAGAGCGAAGCCCGCTTGAGCGCCTCACGCGAGAGCTCCTGGTGGACTATCGCCAAAGTAGTGCTTGGAGCCGCGACGAGCGCTGTCATTGCTCTTGCAGCAGCGCACATGTACGGCACTAATGGCTTTAGTCTCGCACTCCCGGCCGACTCCAACGGCACGCACTATCAGGTTCTTTCACTCGTCCAGCGTGCGCAAGCTTTGACCAACCTCATCGGCGAGCTCTACTCCATCAAGATTGATGAGCTAGCTCAGCACTACAAGGAGCTCGAACTCGCCTCTGAGTCTCACGGTCTCCGAATCGACAATCTAGTTGAAGCACTGGGCGTTCCCAACGAGGAGGGTACCTACTTTTCATCAACGCCGAAACCAGGAACGGGTTGCACGACAAGGAACGATCATTCCTGCGTTCCAGAGATCATGGCGGACGCTAACCGCCACACCGAGAAACTGCGTAGCGAGCTGGAGCACATGCGCAAGAACATGCACCGTATGGACATTCGCCTCATGAAGCGCCTCGACAAGGTCGACAAGCGTGGTCTGTAGTAAGCATGAGCAATGCGAGCTCGAGCCACGGTAGTGGACCCTGGTGTTGCTACTGTAAGCCACGACTCCAAAGATAGTGCATAGGGGTACACCGTCTTTTTGCTTCTTTACATGCGCACCGATGCGGTACAGGGGTGGATCTGAGCGCTTGCATCCGTTGTCGTTACAGAACACTCCTGCATATAAGTGGAATTTGTACGGTGAAATGGGTTGTCTTGCGAACTTCGGTCTACTGTGTAGCAAATGAAACCCCCGTCAAACTCATTTACAGTCTTCACAAATAGTGCCATCTGGATTTCTCTTGACCTGTCCGCTCTCGCTCGCTTGACCTTGCTCTTGCTTCACCTCTGACTCCTGCTTCGTGTCTTCTGCCTTGTCTTCCTTCTTCTTTCCATGCTTATCGGAATGTCCCAAGTCTCGTGATGGATCGATGTGATCTCGCACCAACTGCTTCAATACTTTCGTTTCTGTAACACGTCAGCCACTCTTTACCACTAACAAGTTTGCGCTGAGATCACGAACCGGGAAATCCACCCTCAGTCTTCCTATCCCAGAGAAGCACTTTCTTGGCTTCAATATCTTGACCCTCTTCCGTTGGCGGCATATATGTCTTGGCAAGTCAGTGGTCATTACGACAGACCTCATTTCCTACATACCAACTCAACAGTAAACAACCCTCCCGTCGCAGGAATCAACGCGATCTCGCCAATCTGCAACCCAAATGTCGATAGAAGTTCTTGCCCAAACTGATCACCCATTAGCGAACGTCCTGCTAGCGGATGGTTTCGGCGGAACGTACATACGCAGCCCGCAACATCCACCGGCATTGCGTGCAATAAGTGATTGCGACGCGCGGTAAAGCTACTGGAGCAGATTGTGTGGATGTCATAATTTCGAGTGTGTATGAGGGTTGAGTTGCTCTTGCCGTTTCTGGGGCGGAAGGAAGGAAGGGTGTCGCTTATCGATAATCTGGAAGTGGCGTCATCGCAGGGCGGGCATGCGAACGACTGTCAACTGTCAAGCTGCGCTAAGGTTGTATGAGAAGTTCAAATCATGGTTTCGTGTCTCAGTGCGAGGTGTTGTTGCACTGTTTAAATTCACGGAGTTGGAGAGGTATCGCAATGATGGTAGTTTTGGCTGGGCGATGTCTAATCGGGTGAGAGCAGAGCGAGCTCAACATGTTAAGCCTCAGACTTGTCAGAGGCAAATCAATACGATTAAACCACATGGAGGCTTGGTACCGAGAGTGTTGTGCAGAATCCAAGGAGCGTGTGCTTTCGAATGTTAGTGGGCCCAGCTACCTCATAGAGGGCAGAGAGGAACGTCGCCCACATGTAAGGTTGAAAAGCTAACGATGAGGGCAAGCAGAACACCAACCAACCCTTATGTCGAACTGGACAATTTACATCTCAGGGCTGACGTAGGTCATGTCTAAAGTAGATTGTGTGTTGAGTAACGACACTTTCTACCACAAAGCCATTGTGTCTGCCAAGCTGGATGTTTGTTCTCTTGGCTGTAGAGAAGAGACCAGTTCGGTGTTCAGCGCGACGAAAAAAGGTAAAAGGGCTGCAATGTTGACTGAATACTATCATTGACCCCACCAATCTCACCAGTTCTACAGCGCTGTTCGACGCCGGAAATCCAGATGCGTCGTTCGGTGTTTTCGGTGTTTCTCATCCCTGATCCGAGGGGAAGGTGCAGACAGCGGGTTGCTAAGGCCGTGCGCTACAGGGTCCAATTGTTGTAATTTGCGGAGACGCTCCCATACTTCACACATCGCGCCCAAAACACACTTCAACTCGTGGGTAAAGGTGCGATAATTTCTCCTTCTTGGATTCATTCTTCTGTCGCCGAATTGGTCTGCATCTCGCGACAATACTACACGTGTCGACCCATCCGCCTCTACCCCCCAATCCACGACTCCTTTCCTTTCGCCCATCATGCCGAGCCCTCTGAGCATGCTCTACTACGTAGTCCACCCCAATGAGCTACGGTCTATCATTCAATGGTAAGATACGACGCATCGCGACTTCTCTGCTCGCCTCCGGAGATCTGCGCAAACCTGAGCATTACTAACAACTCTCTAGGAAGGTATGGCACAACGCAGTACACGAGCGCGACGAATCGAAAGAATGCGAATCCCTTAAACGATGCTTCCACTTCCTCAACAAGACAAGTCGAAGTTTTGCCGCCGTCATCCTCGAACTGCACCCCGACCTTCTGGTGCCCGTCGCGCTATTCTACCTGGTCCTACGCGGTTTGGACACAATCGAGGATGACATGACGATTCCTCTGGAGAAGAAGGAGCCGATCCTCCGCAACTTCGACGAGATTCTGGAAAAGGATGGATGGAACTACACAGAGAACGGCCCCAACGAGAAGGATAGGCAGCTTCTGGTCGAGTTCAACGTGGTGATTGAGGAGTTCAAGAAGATCAAGCCCGTCTACCAGGACATCATCAAGGACATTACCAAGAAGATGGGCAACGGCATGGCAGACTACGCGAACAACGCCGAGTTCAATGCTGGCGTCAACACCATTAAGGACTACGAACTGTACTGCCATTACGTCGCAGGTCTGGTTGGTGAGGGCTGCACGCGCCTCTTCGTTGAGGCTGGTTTGGCGAACGCTGCGCTGCTCAAGAGACCAGAGTTGATGGAGTCCATGGGTCAATTCCTCCAGCAGGTCAACATCACTCGTGACATCAAGGAGGACCTGGACGACGGACGACGATTCTGGCCTAGGGAGATCTGGTCGAAGCACGTGGACAAGTTTGAGGATCTCTTCAAGCCCGAGAACAAGCAGCAGGCCCTGAACTGTAGCTCAGAGATGATTCTGACTGCATTGACTCGGGCAGACGACTGCTTGTACTACCTGGCAGGTCTCCGAGAGCAGAGTGTGTTCAATTTCTGCGCTATCCCACAGTCCATGGCTATCGCGACGCTCGAGACCTGCTTCCAGAACTACGCTCTCTTCCAGAAGAACGTCAAGATCACCAAGGGCGAGGCGTGTCAGCTGATGGTTGAGTCGACACAGAACCTGCAGCTTGTCTGCGAGGTCTTCAGGCGGTATGCTCGCAAGATTGCGAGGAAGAACAACCCCCACGACCCCAACTTCCTCAAGATCAGCATCACCCTTGGAAGGGTAAGTCAAGACTGGTCCAGTTGAATGTACTCATACTAACAAATCCCAGATTGAGCAATTCATCGAGTCGATATTCCCGTCGCAACAGCCACCAGTGGACAAGAAGGCACCTGCCACCATCGAGGAGGCGGAGCGGAAACGGAAGGAGGACTCCGAGGCCAACTGGGACTTGGTCTACATTGTCGCCGCTGTTATTGGTACAGTTCTGGTCATCACATTTTTCATGGTACGTATCCCGACTATGCTGCTTTGAAATTGCTAACAGCTTTTAGCTCTTCGTCGCCTGGCTCTGTGGTGCTCGCTTCGATATCGCTTACGAACAATTCAAGATGGAGTTCGGCAAGCTGATGGGAGTCATGGGCCTCGACAAGACACCTCAAGCGGTTACAGAAGTCCATGAGACGCTGAACAAGAGCGAACTATGAGCGTCTCCCACGATTCTATGTATCATACGGGCGACCGATATTGCCATTTAGGGAAACTGGGCATATATAACTTACTAATGCATACTTTTCGCGCCATTTTTGAGGCTCGACTGACGGTGAAGGTAATAACATAGCACGGATGTCAAATTCCAACCCTGCTCTTTCATAGCTGAGGTTGGGCCGTAGATGTGCTTATATTAAAACGCGTTTGCTCGGCGACGAGGCTGCTTAAGAGAAGGTACATCGTGGACTTTGTCTCAAGCGGTAACGTGGACATCGTATAAAATAACTGAACACTTTTGGATAATAGAAACCCTCAAGATGTCTTCTTGCAGATTCTTATTTGCAGCCCAACAGTGAAAAAGAAATTCTTGGCAACTCCTATTTAGTCTCCCTTTCGTACAATGTGCATGACTGGAAAGATCAGCTAGTTGACATGTCCTGAAGTTAATTCTGCTATGACATCAACCTGTTGCTTCTTTATGCCTTCCTTGTGTCATCTCTGAAACTGCCCCGGGAGTGTAGCGCGAGGTCCGTGCCAAGCAAGCCTAAACGGTTCACACGAATTGCGACTGCACTGCATATTCTGCCCGACAGACACGCCCGCCACAAACGTCCACCGCACACTCGACCTTTCCCTCACCCGCCGCAAGACAGGCAGCCCAAGCCCGCGACACGTCCCGTATAATCGCCCGGTGCGATTGCGACAGCCCCACCTTCACCTCATCCCGCCCACCACCAATCGCCTTAAATTACCACACGACCCGCTGCCATCGTCTTTGGAGCCTCTCTACCGCTCCATTACCACATAATCTCCCTAAAATCCCCAAACACAACCTCCACAATGGCCGAAGTTGCATCAGCATCGCACGCCAACCAGCAGGTGCCGCTGGACACGATCCCCATCTCGCCTACTGAGAACTCAGGCGAGGGCCAGGAACAATCCTCCACCACCAACTCCGGCGGCGAGGGCGAGATCCGCACCGTCTTCCACGACCCTGAGAACTTCAACGTCAAGCACCCGCTTATGAACACATGGACGCTGTGGTTCACCAAGCCCCCGAGCGGCAAGGTACGACAATGTCTCGCCTCGGCTGTGACTTGTTCCATGCTAACAGGTGCAGGGCGACAACTGGGCCGAGCTGCTGAAGGAAGTCATCTCGTTTGACTCGGTCGAGGAGTTCTGGGGCATCTACGTAAGTTGCGCTGCAGAGCAAGCGCAACCCGCAAGACTAACACTGCGCAGAACAACATCACCCCCACATCCGACCTCGCGCTCAAGTCCGACTACCACCTCTTCAAGAAGGGCATCAAGCCTGAGTGGGAAGACCCGCAGAACAAGCACGGCGGCAAATGGGCCTTCCAGTTCAGGGAGAAGAAGTCGGTCAACATCGATGCGCTCTGGCTCCATGTCATGCTCGCTGCCATCGGGGAGAACCTCGAGGATGAGGACGACAACGAGGTCATGGGTGTCGTCGTCAACGTGAGGCGAGGTTTCTACCGTATCGGTCTGTGGACACGCACTGTCGGCCGCGCCATCCCCGGTGATGCAGGCAAGGCCAGGACTCAGGAGAAGGGTAAGGAAATTCTGCTGAAGATCGGAAAGCGGTTCAAGCAGGCGCTCCAGCTCAAGGAGAACGACGTTGTCGAGTTCTCTGGCCACACCGAGGCTGCCAACGCGGGCAGCACTCGTGCGAAGGCCAAGTTCAGCGTCTAAAAGGTTCCACCACACATCCAAGTCTGCCACACGATGCTTGCTACTTGCAACATCCTCCGTCGTCCTCGGACACACGGCGCACCCCACCCCTGGGCTGCATTTTCTCGATTTATTCCCTGTTTGGTCTAAAAGTATCTCACTTAACGGTTCATGATACACGGACTGGATTTCTAGCATGGCGTCTGCATGGGCGGCGAAGGGTGACACTGGGTTCTCCACACGAATCATACGGCCATGGCGGGTCTGCCTCGAACGGGTGGGGTTCTGAGCTTGTATAGACTAGCTCTCTTATCTAGCATATCTACGAATGAGAGTGAA